TTAAATGATTTTTTTACGTGTCCACTGTACACTCTTCCGGCAAGCCTCACCAACTCCGTACGGCAAAGTTCTCCACCGGACATAGCTAAAATGAAAGGTAATAAATCAGAGCGGGGCCTACTGAAATAATTTTTGGGGGTTAGAACCTTCTGGGAATTGTAGGGATTCAAAGTTGATGTTGAATGTTTTTTTTACGTGTCCACCGTACACCTTTTCGGCAAGCCTCACCAACTCCATACGGCAAAGTTCCCTACCGGAAATGGCTCAAATAAAAGGTAATAAATCAGAGCGGGGCCAACTGAAATATTTTTTTTGGGGGGGTTAGAATTTTTGGGCTTTGTAGGGGTTCAAAGTTGGTGTTAATTTTTTTTTACGTGTCCACCGTACACTCTTTCGGCAAGCCTCACCAACTTCGTACGGCAAAGTTCTCCATCGGAAATGACTCAAATGAAAGGTAATAAATCAGAGCAGGGCCCACATAAATATTTGTTGGGGGTTAGAACCTTTAGGGAATTGTAGGGGTTCAAAGTTGATGTTAATTTTTTTTTTTACGTATCCACCGTACACTCTTTCGGCAAGCATCACCAACTCCTGACGGCAAAGTTCTCCACCAGACATGGCTCAAATGAAAGGTAATAAATCAGAGAGGGGCCCACTGAAATAATTTTGTGGGGGTTAGAACCTTCTGGGAATTGTAGGAGTTCAAAATTGATGTTAAATGTTTTTTTTACGTGTCCACTGTACACTCTTCTGGCAAGCCTCACCAACTCCGTACGGCAAAGTTCTCCACTGGACATAGCTAAAATGAAAGGTAATAAATCAGAGCGGGGCCAACTGAAATGTATTTTTTTGGGGGGGGGGTTAGAATTTTTTGGGCTTTGTCAGGGTTCAAAGTTGGTGTTAATTGTTTTTTACATGTCCACCGTACACTCTTTCGGCAAGCCTCACCAACTCCGTACGGCAAAGTTCTCCATCGGACATGGCTCAAATGAAAGGTAATAAATCAGAGCAGGGCCCACATAAATATTTTTTGGGGGTTAGAACCTTTTGTGAATTGTAGGGGTTCAAAGTTAATGTTAATTTTTTTTTACGTATCCACCGTACACTCTTTCGGCAAGTCTCACCAACTCCGTACGGCAAAGTTTACCACCGGACATGGCTCAAATGAAAGGTAATAAATCAGAGCGGGGCCCACTGAAATAATTTTGTGGGGGTTAGAACCTTCTGGGAATTGTAGGGGTTCAAAATTGATGTTAAATGTTTTTTTTACGTGTCCACTGTACACTCTTCCGGCAAGCCTCACCAACTCCGTACGGCAAAGTTCTCCACCGGACATAGCTAAAATGAAAGGTAATAAATCAGAGCGGGGCCTACTGAAATAATTTTTGGGGGTTAGAACCTTCTGGGAATTGTAGGGATTCAAAGTTGATGTTGAATGGTTTTTTTACGTGTCCACCGTACACCTTTTCGGCAAGCCTCACCAACTCCATACGGCAAAGTTCTCCACCGGAAATAGCTCAAATAAAAGGTAATTAATCAGAGCGGGGCCAACTGAAATGGTTTTTTTTGGGGGGGTTAGAATTTTTTGGGCTTTGTAGGGGTTCAAAGTTGGTGTTAACTTTTTTAACGTGTCCACCGTACACTCTTTCGGCAAGCCTCGCCAACTCCGTACGGCAAAGTTCTCCATCGGACATGGCTCAAATGAAAGGTAATAAATCAGAGCAGGGCCCACATAAATATTTTTTGGGGGTTAGAACCTTTTGGGAATTGTAGGGGTTCAAAGTTGATGTTAATTTTTTTTTTACGTATCCACCGTACACTCTTTCGGCAAGCATCACCAACTCCATACGGCAAAGTTCTCCATCGGACATGGCTCAAAAGAAAGGTAATAAATCAGAGCGGGGCCCACTGAAAAAATTTTGTGGGGGTTAGAACTTTCTGGGAATTGTAGGGGTTCAAAATTGATGTAAAATTTTTTTTTTACGTGTCTACTTTACACTCTTCCGGCAAGCCTCACCAACTCCGTACGGCAAAGTTCTCCACCGGATATAGCTAAAATGAAAGGTAATAAATCAGAGCGGGGCCAACTGAAATGGTTTTTTTTTTTTAGTTAGAATATTCTTGGAATTGTAGGGGTTCAAAGTTGATGTTCAAAGTGTACGTGTTTTTTTTAAATAAAAATAGATATAAGAAGATGTGGTATGAGTGCAAACTCTCCATCCAAATCACAATTTGTAAAAGTAAACCATGATCAAAATACGGCCTTAAACACGGAGCATTGGCTCACATCGAACAGCAAGCTATAAAGGGCCCCAAAAAATTACTAATGTAAAACCATTCAAACGGGAAAACCAACGGTCTAATCTATATAAAAAACGAGAAACGAGAAACACTTATGAACCACATCAACAAACGGCAACCACTGAACATCAGGTTCCTGACTTAGGACAGGTGCAAACAAATGCAGTTTTAAAAAGTCTTTTTTCCTGTTGATATATTTCTTTTAAGTCAGGATGCATTCCGTACAAAATAGTGCACGTATTCAATTGAAAGTATTTTTTGTCGGAATGAAATGCCCTCCTACATCTTGTTCTTCTGTATGTTTTCATTTTTAGTATAGGAAATATACATTAAAAGTTCCTTTTTTTTTAGAAAATACAGGATATTTGAGGCTGCCGAGTGTATGGAAAGCTAGTATATAGTAATTCTATCGCACAAAGTATCTTTCTTATTTTGTTATTTGAAAACCTATACATTGTACAAAGGAACAAGTTAAAGTCAACTCACATTAAATATCTATTGTATGCTCCGCCTATGGAAAATGATTTTGCGAGCAAATGATCGCAGACAAATATCTTGTTTTTTTTTTAATTGAATTTGCTTACTTTTTATTATCATTTCTGATACGCCATGTGCTATTATATAGAGATTAATACATGGCCTTTTGCATGTCGGCCCGGGTATCATCCCGAGACCCCCATATCAGCCCGAAACGTAGTCGAGGTGCTGATATGGGTCGAGGGATGATACCCGGGCCGATATGGAAAATGCCCTGTATTAATCTCTTTATCATATACTTCCGACAATTGTTTTATGTAAGGCAAATATACAAATGAAATAACTAAAACAGTCAAAAACTTTATAAAGAAGTTAAATTATGAATCCAACAGATACACTATAATTGTCCAACAATAGCATCACTACCTCCATATCTATTTATGGTACCATTTCCTATAGAGGCATTTTGAAACATTGAAAATTTGGAAGCTGGAAGCATAGAAGTATTTACAGTTTTATGATCATTATTACTACATGTTGTACTATGAGATGATTCATAATTGTCAATGGCATTTGTTAGCAAGTACTAAACTATCATCATTTTGAAAATCTATATCATTGGATTTAGCCATGTTAACATCTGTTTTTCAATAACAGCTGGTTCTGTACAAACAGAGTTACCACTGGATCCAATACACCTTATCGCTATTTGACCGCAATTACTGGACATCATAAAAGTTCCCGTAAAATTTTGACGTCATAATAAAAAATATCTGACGCCACAATGGAAAAGTAAACAGACGATACCGGAAATACCGGAAGTAACTTGCACGAGAGGCACTGTTATTGGTTTTTTGCACGAGAGGCCCCTGATATGGGTTATCAGCCCGGGTGGGAAATTATGGCTTGTGTACTTCCGTTCATTACACATTTGCAAAAGCTATCATATTAATGCTAAGTATATGATAAATAGCCATTATGTGCTTGGGGATAGACACTCCGTCTTTAATATTTTAATTTAAATAATTAATACCTGTTTACAATCTCGGTTTAGAGTTTGGAAAACACAGAAAACGTAAAGAAAACGTCAAAATATGGTTATTTTCCCAACTAGTCCCTTTCCTGGTGGTGTAAAATCCGCACTTTCATTTATATTAATACTTATAATTATGATAATATATCGTCTTATAATAAGTTTTAATAACTTATAAATGTATGTATTGCAAATGGATGGTATTTTTGTTCTAGCATATTGTTTTTCTTTAATTGTTTAACATTTCTTACCGATATAACATGTTACTTTTATTATTCCTCCCTTAGTTTATTTATTTTTATTTACATTGTGTCATAGGTCAAATTTATTTGTTCAGTGTATGTTCAATGGTGTTAATATGTCCTTTGATTGAGTTAAGCTATTTCAGTTGATATTTTATAGTGTGTCTTTCTATGTTGTGATGTTACACTATTTTTTCAGGAAAAAGGGTGAAGGTTTGGTACCATTAAAACGTTTAAACCCGCTGCATTTGTTTGCACCTGTCCTAAGTCAGGAATCTGATGTTCAGTAGTTGTCGTTTGTTGATGTGGTTCATAAGTGTTTCTCGTTTCTCGTTTTTTATATAGATTAGACCGTTGGTTTTCCCGTTTGAATGGTTTTACATTAGTAATTTTTTGGGGCCCTTTATAGCTTACTGTTCGGTGTGCGGGGGTTGTCATCCTGTTCCCTAATACACCACTTTCTAATATTGCAGTAAACATGACTTGTCTACAAGAAAAGATACACCTTTTAGGAATTTAAATTTTCTACAGTGTGTTACCACAGAAAACGTATGAACTGTATTTCATGACAAACAATTCCTCTTAAAAGTGTAAGCATTCGTTCATTATTTTGTACATAAATCAGGCCGTCAGTTTTCTCGTTTGGATTGTTCTACATTTGTCATTTCGGGGTCTTTTATAGCTGACTATGTGGTATGGGTTTTACTCATTGTTGAAGGCCGTACGGTGACCTATAGTTGTTAATGTCTGTGGCATTTGGTCTCGTGTGGAGAGTTGTCTCATTGGCAATCATACCACATCTTCTTATTTTTATATAATTATGTTAAATGTAAATTTGTATTTTTACAGGAATTTGTGTCGTTTTTTTAATTTTTTTTTGCTGAGCTTATGGGTTTTCTTCAGTTTTTTTGTGCTTTATTATCATTATCTCTTTTTATTTTCATCAGACATGGCACTTCTGTAGGTAATACGGTTTCAAGTGGCACGGGAAAGATATGGAAAACCAATATGAGATGCACTGGAGTTGAAAGTAAATTGGATGACTGCAAAGAAGGAGGAACAGCTGGTTATTGTTCTCATTCTGACGATGTTGGAATTTATTGTTTTAATGAGACTATAAATCCTGGTAGGTAATCAAATCATGGAATAAAAGAACTGTAGTTGAAGAGTTGCCTTGGTCAATTTGGGGTTTTGACGGTCGCAAATGCGACGCGTAGCGGAAACAGTAAAACGGATATTTGCGACCGTCAAATCCCCAATTGATGTCGACAACTCTTTAAATACAGTACTGTTGTTCCGATTCTAACGCATGACAAAAAGAAATAGTACTTTGGAGTTTGAAAAAATGTATAATATAAAATTAAATAAAATCCCACGAAACTTCACAAATGATTTTTGCGCAAAACACGACGTCATTCAAATGAAAACTCTCAAATTGGAGGTTATTCCGTTACTTGTTTGCGATTCTAAAAATATCTCTTTTTTATTGATGTTTTTTAGTGTTCAGACTACAGTGCATACACACATTGTTACAAGACATACGTAAATAAAATAAATTCAGGATTTACAAGTCTTCGATGTGTATATACAGTATCGCTATTTTCTAAAATTTTGCTTTGATCTTTTTTGTGATAATTTTTAAATTCACGCTACTCGAGTATTATATGGATAAGCGTTGATTAATTAAACAGGTACCACGAACCCGGAGGTTCTATGTGTCTATTATTTAAACTATTGTTGAGACTTCTTTTTAAAATTATAGTACTTTCACCAACTAGTTCCATTTATAACTGAGTTCAAATAACCACCTCATCATCTTGATTCCCAAGAAACAACCTATAATTAGAAGTATATAGGTAGTGGATTTAAATCATGAAATAGCATTTTTACGAAAACAAAGTTGCATGCACTTTGAGTATGCAGTACTGAAATTTCCATTGAATTACTACCAGACTCAAGCTAGCGACCGATTCCAGTGACCAATCACGCTAGCGACCAATTCTATCGACCACTAAAGTTAACAATGAGCATCAACACGTTACAGAACCATTTACAGACATGTCTGAAAACCACAAAATGACATTATGCTACAACGTTCTTCTAATATTTAATACGTAATATATCGCTATTAATTGTTTAATGGACATTTGTAATAAGAATAAATGCTTATACTTTTAGAAAGGAAACACCAATTAATTTTATTTAAATTTTACTTTTGATTCCAACAAATTAACGTGAGGATCGTGTTTGCTCGAGGCTAATGCTCTAAATTAGTTATTCAGTTTTTGAATATTTTATATGAATTTATGATTGATTTTATTCTCATAAACTAGTACATAGCTACAGAGAAAATAACAGTTCATATATAAAACATATTTTGTTTCGCATTTGTGAAAAATAAATAACAATATAATAGTAATACAGTTCCTCTAACCAAGAGGACAGACTTTCACTGATATGTATCGTATAAATCTACACAATTTTCCTAGTTCAACAACATTTTCAGATGAGAATACATTATTAAATTTAACTTTAATTCCTTTACAATAATGTGGTAAATATTTTTCTCTTTCTATGTTAACAAATTTGCACGACATAATGTAGTGAAATTCATCGCCAATATCTGTAGAGCTGCATAGATGATAAGACCTTTTCGAATAGTTTTACTGTAGTATCTGGAATGTTATTTGTTTGCTATAAAACTAAGAATTTTTACGTGCAACAAAAACTACATCGTACATATAATATAGATAAATTAATTAGAGGCTATCATAGTACATAACGGCTAAACCAAGTCTCAAGATTAAGAGGTATGTATACGTAAGTATTGTATGTAAAACAGAATAAGAACATCTTAGTACATTAGTTCAGATGTCAATTTACCACGAGATAAATAAAATGTTAAAGGCGCTATACGGTAGGAAAATCATACAACGGCTTTCTATATATACCCTCGACATTCTCAAATATCGAGTATTTCCTTAAAACCATTTAGGTGTGAGGGGAGTGCTTCTGGATACAGTGTATGGGGTATAGTCCAAGGCACTTCAAATAATACTCAAAGCAATAAAAACAATTTAATGAAAAGAAAGAAAAAACATATTCAATACAACATTCATCACATTAAAACATTTTAACTACGTTCAGCCAGAAACCTTAATCATACATTAATGCTTAACCAAGTTAACATAGCAATAATGATACCACATATGGGCATTTTATAAGAAATTCAAACCGTCTTATTCCACTTTAGTATGTATTGCAGGCAGACAAGCAACCCGTAACTAGCATTGCTGCATTCAAATATAACAATCAGGTCACAGATATATATTTAAAAAAGTGTTGTCAATTCAACGTATATATATTGAAGTTTAAAACCACTATGGAGGTTATTTTGTTATCTTTATTTAAACCTTTATGAAGGTTTTTCACGACCTTGACTGACTATACAGCCCTTGCACGGTGGGTACCCTACCTATACAGCCCTTGCAAGTTCTTTAAAAAATGTAAGCAAAAATAAATAACATTTCAAAATTAATACAAACGTCAAATAAATAAAGGAGCTCGAATGTCAGTCTTGTTCAATTAATCAATACTGAATAGAATGAATCAAATGAAAATGTAATATAATAAAGCAAATAAACAAACAGCCTGAAATAATTGAGTGATGAAAAGGGAAATAATCTATTCCTATTACATTGGTAAAGAATTACTATATCGGCCCGGGAAAAAAAACATAAAATGCAGTACATATATCAAACAAAATAGTTCCATGCATATTGATAAATCTTTGTCAATAAGTATAATAATTGGTTTATTTTGGTATCAAATGAAAGCGTAATACCACTATATACACCCTTGTTAAAAGTCTCTTTTGAATAATAATAAGAAAAAAAAGCAGGGCATATTTCCCCTGTTGTTCAAGTTTGCCTAGAACCTGTTTTTGTATTTCCGATTTTCCGGGAATCAGTGTATGAACACATGAAGGTAGCAATACATAGTTATAAGTTTGGTTTAGCATTTTGGCCCCGGTGGATTTTTCAAATATGAAAGTTATTGTGCAATAAAATTCATTTTTAGACAGCTGAGTACTAATTTAGCCTTCAAAGATGGTTTATAAGAACATCAAGGTTATTTTAACATGTTTAACGGGCTATTTTCTGTTTCACTCTCCGTATTTTCATAGCTAGACCGGCCATAGGTCCAGAAATTAATGTAATGTTTACAAACATTTTTTTCTACACCAAGCTTTAGACGCAATTTTACGAATAGAAAGACTGAAAAATGAACCCTACCCATTACTGATAGGTACCTTAGACTTTGGATGACCAGTGAAGTCTTCAGGTGCACTTTCCCACCAAGGTATGCATACCAGTTGCAGATATGGATAATAGCTTTCAATCTAACCACCTGTGGTCAAGAACTTTGCCGTAGGGAAGTGGGAATAAAGCGACAGCTGCCACCACTCGTAATGGACAAAAATTCGAAATTGGGTATGTGGTTGTCAGCTTCTGGTGCACTTTCCCACCCGGGCATTTTCATGAATAAAAGGGCCTGGAACAAGCTTTCAATCCCACTAGGTGTGGGTAATAGCTTTGCCGTAGGGAACTGTATAGAAAGACTGAAAAATGCTGGCCACCCAAAATCTATGTTACCTATCAATAAAGGGTATGGGCACATTTTTCAGTCTTTGTGTACAGTTCCCTACGGCAAAGCTTTTACCCACACCTAGTGGGCTTGAAAGCTTGTCCCAGGCCAGTTTATTCATGAAAATGCCCGGGTGGGAAAGTGCACCGGAAGCTCACAACAACACACCAAATTTCTCATTTTTCAGCACATGGGTGGTGGCAGGAATCGCTATCCTCCCGTTTCCCTACGGCAAAGTTCTTGACCCCAGGTGGTTAGATTGAAATTATACTTTACCCTTACTTCTCCTGGAAAAATTCAACATACATTTATGTGCGCATTGGTTCCCGGAAATTTGGAAGTACAAAAACAGGTACTGAGCAAAATCTCAGCAACAGGGCAAATATGCCCTGCTTTATAATTTCTTTTTTTCTATTATTCAAAAGAGACTTTCAACAATGGTCCTTTAGTGATCCCAAGTGATTAAGCTTTCATTTGATACCAAAATTAACCAAATATATTACTTATTGACAAAGTTTTAGCTATATGCGTAGGAACTATTTTGTTTGAAATATGTACTACTTTCTTGTATGTTCTTTTTAACCGGGCCGATACGGTAATTCTTTACCTAAAGGGTTTTAAGGAAATACACGATATTTGAGGATGCCGAGAGTATAGAAAGCTGTTATATGAATTTATCTACCGCATATATAGTGTCTTTCTTGCTCAGTTTAACTTTTTATTTATCTCACCGTAAATTGACATCTATACTAATGTACTAAGATTATTTTTATATGTTCTACAATACTCAATACACCTCTGAATCTTGAGGCTTGGTTTAGCCGTTAGGTCCTAAGATGGCCTTTTATTAATTCATCTATACTATATGTAGTTAGTGTTACACATTAAAAATCTTAGTTTAAAGTATCGCAAACAAATAACATAGATACTTTTATTTTTTTTAACTTGTTTTGTTTTTGCTTTTTGTTTTTGCTTGTTTTTTTTTCTTTCCTTTTCAGCAAGGAACGAAGATCTCGATTTCATATAAGTGTATATGCCATGTAATATACAATTTTCAAATACTGAACTACTGATTTAAAGCCTTGAGCAACCACGTTACTCACGTTAATTGTTAGAAAGATTGAATTCCAAAGTAAAATTTATGCAAAATTAATTACTTTATCCTTTCTAAAACGTATATGTATTTATTCTTCCGTCCCCTATTTATTGCAAATGTAGACATATGTGGTCCATTAAACATTTAAAAGCGATATATTACGTATTTCTTATCAGAAGAACGTTGTAGCATAATGTCAATTTATGATTTTCAGACATATCTCTGAATGGTTCTCTAACGTGTTGATTCTCATTGTTAACTTTTGTGGTCGATAGAATTGGTCGCTAGCTTGATTGGTCGCTGGAATTGGTCGCTAGCTTGAGTCTGGTATGGTTGAATTACTATATATATACAATGTATGTTATTATATATATTTAGTTATT